TCTCATCTTTTTAAGTGGGAGAACTTGCACAATTGATGGCTGACTAAATACTTTTTTGCCCCACTGTATAGTATCTCACAGCTTTCACTAATAAATCATCAGGCAAACTATCTTTCACTGAGTGTTTTAAGTGTTATTATTATATTACCCTTACTTCTGTTCTACTAGCAAGCAGCTTTGCCCTGGATAAATATGAACCACTGGAGTCTCTATATCACATATGAATATGCATTATTAAGAGGCTGCCCTTGAAGAGCACCTGGAGGCTACAAGAGATCCAGAATATAGCAACTCAGACAGTGATGGGCATGCTGTGTTATGCCATGTGACTCTGCTGCTCTGTGACCTGCACTGGTTGCCAGGGGGCTCACGAGGGCAATTCCAGATGCTCATCATTACCTATAAAGCACTTTATGGCATAGGGCCTAGCTATCTGAGGAATTATCTATCTCCCATTGTTTGTGCCCACCGAGTAAGATCGGGCAGAATGGGCACACTCCAGGTCCCCTCTATTAAACAATGTCATTTGTTGAGACCTAGGAAACGAGCCTTCTCTGCCACAGCACCTGCCCTATGGAATAGTATTTCCCCCAGAAATCTGTATGGATCCCACCTTAATGATGTTCCAAAAGTCTCTGAAAATCTGGCTGTTCTCCCAGACACAAGCTGAAGCACTATAGATTTGTTGTTGTTATGCTTGGTTTTTCTGTTCTGGACATCTATGATCTGTATCTTAATTTTTTTTATTGTCCTTGCTTTTAAAGTATAAGCCACACAGAGGCATTTGGAGTTGGGCAGCCTCTATATTATATACATATATGCATAACATACATTCGCAACAATATATTGCAATGCATCTCCTCTAGCAGGAGTGCTTATGTTCAATGGTCCTTCCAATCCCCCAATATTTCATTTTCAGTGCCCTTTGAAAACAAAGGTTTAGCTAAGTACAATTAAGTTTTGGTTGCAAATATGCATTTTTAAAAACAAAGAAGGATTGCTCATGAAAACCCAAATAATTCCTTTTAAATAGGTGACCCAAAAGATTGGTCAGATTGGCATTGATCCTAATTATTTATTTTCTAGGGATATGACATCAGCAACTTATTGTATTAAACAAAGATAAATTCAGTACAGGAATTAATGGCAAAAGCCAAAGTTCCATATTCACCTGTGACTTTTGGAATAAAGTATTTATACATTTTTCAGCTCCCTGAATATCTTAATGGTTTGCATTTAAGTAAATACAGAATAGCCATTTCAAAAGCCATATTAAATGTGTTGCCATCAAATATGCTATACAGGTAGTCCTCGTTTAATGACCATTTGAAGTTACGATGGCACTAAATGAATGGTACTTATGCCCAGTCCTTGAAATTATGGCTCTTGCAGTGCCCCTGCGGTCATGTGATCGAAATTCAGGAGCTGGGCAGTCTGCCTGCATTTACGACTGCAGAGTGTGCTTCAACTTCCCCCCACCTGCCTATCTCCCCCCCCATCTCTGCCCTACCCACAGGGGTAGCAGCTGCCCTGCACTCCACCGCTACCCCTGTGCTCTACCACCACTGCTGCCTCCCAGCTGACTTTTGCCATCTTCTTCCTCCCACTGCTGACAAGGTGTGTCTGGCTTGGTCCTTCACAAGGTGGGCTGCTGGCAACATGGCCTTCTCAAAGTTGTAAGGTTTTCCAAGGCCTGAGGAAGGCTGCTCATGGTCAGCAGCTGCCTTGCAAAGGGCCAAGTAGGGTGTGCCTTAGCAGCAGCGGGAGGAAGATGATGGTAAAGATCAGTTGGGGTGGCGGAGTGCAGGGGAGTTTGCACACCCTCCCACCTCTGGCAGCAGCCACCTCCTGCCCGGCTGGGTTTGCCCTGGGCTGCGGCAGCCACTTACTCACCTGCCAGCCTGCTTGCAAGCCACCCAGGACTTGCAACTTCCTGCCAATTTCCCCACTGACTTCATTTGTTGGAAGCCAGCAGGAAGTCACGAGGAGGTCCTCGCTTAACAACCTGTGATCCTCACTTAACAACAGGAACAGGGACTGCGAGGACTGCCGTTGCTAAGCATTGCAGTCACGTGATGTCGCGCTTTATGCCCACATCACTTAGCGATGGAAATTCCAGCCCCATTTACCATCATTAACTGAGGACTACCTATATGGTAGATTTCAAAAGATGCCCATCTCTCAAAGATTTTGTCCCTGTAACAGTATTAATCTTGAAACAGTGTATCATATTTTATTGTATTGTGAATTTTACAAGAATTTTTGGCAGGATATTATCTGGCCTATTTTAAAATGAAGATCAGGAGGAGATATTTTGGATTATGTTAAAATTTTACTCAAAGGTGAAAATCCTAAAATTACAGAGGCAACAGCCAAATTTTCGACTATGGCTATAAAAACAAGGTCTTTAGTAATGATAAGGGGGAATTTTAAATGTTTTATGTAATAACTATCAATCCTTTTTAAAGAAAACAGCTTTTTTATCTAATGCCAAACTTTAGATTATATTTGTAGTTTGCTATTTGGGTCTCTTTGCCATAAATAAAATTTACATATTTCATTTTCTCCCATTGCTCCCCTCGCTAAACATGCTGAGAGAGACACATGCATTAAACTTTTCATAACTGGTGAATAAGGTGAGCCCTTAGTGGGCTTTGGCAAAGAAGGTCAAGGGCATCCGCAGGGGATGTCAAAAAACATCAAGATGACATCTACGAACAAAAAAGTTTTTTTTTTTTTACATGTATTGCACATATAAAAGAGCAGGGCTTCAGTCACACGGCTATAGTTGTAATCTTGACTCTTTTTATGATCACATGTGTGCAAACACACACACAAGTTCCCCAGTTAATTTTTGGTACTTCTACAAACTATAATTTCCCTGATCATGCCATTATTTCCCTTTTAGTTCCCAGTAGCCCCATTTTGGCTATATAATTATTGTACTTACTGCCGGAGGTTGCAGTTAAAAGAAGCGTTACCAGATGAACACTAAAGATTACTTTTACAATTTATGGTAGAAACATAACAGAAATGTGTGGAGTCTTTGGATGCATACATAATAAACTGAAACAATTAATAGGGCTATAATTAATGGCATAAAATATTTTATTTATGACACAACTTAGGTTCATTTCTTATCTTAAGATTTACAGTACAAGAGGGAAGAAAAATAAAACCTTAAAATAAGAATGTAAACACTAAGAATATTAAACTTTTTTCAGCATAAAACTACATTCCTCTCCCCATCACACAGAGATCCATCCATCCATCCAACTCTATCTTCCCCTCTTCTCTTTCTTGCTGTTTCAATACTGAAGTATTCCATTGCTTAAGAAATATGGCATATATTACTATTTACATACATCAAAAAGCTGTTAAGATTAATTTGCATATATAAAATACAAATTCATATGCATTTACGTATTTCATATTTAACAAAATATCTTATAGATCAGAAGACTTAGGTTCTGGAGAATGTAAAATATTCATTCAGTCTTTATATTCAACACCCTCACATTTATTTATTTATTTCAGTCTTATTTCTCACTAAGATAATATCAGGGCATAAAGCAGTGTTTATTTTTATTAAACATTTAAAGTATCAATAGCTGTTACTACATCAGCCTATTCATCAGGAAAAGAATGCTAATCTTCTAAATCAGTACAATTTAAAAAATAAAAATAAAATGTAATTCAGTCCCATAAAAATCTAATTACAGAAGATAAACTCCATTGTTTCAAGACTGTTCAACTTACCTCACCTTTCTTAGTTAACAATCTCAGACTTTTAACTTTGGCAATATTTTTCAATTTATATTACATGCTTAGGCAGAAAAACACTCCGGTAGATTTACATAACATTCATTTGATAATGTTTCTACATGATCTATAGTTTTTAAACATTCAGAAGTAAAATGTAGAAGGCACAAAAGTGAACAATTGGAAATATTATTTCTGCAATATTTCTAAAATGGGAACTTCATTTTAAAAATCTAAACTAAATACAGTCCTTAATTTCATTTAAAGATTCTAGAAACTTTAAAATGTTAACTGATAGCTATTTTTGGAATAAATAGTAACATATTTTGAAAATGATTAGACTAAAAATGTTATTCATATTATGTAAATAGAACCTAATTGTTCTTTGTTTAAATTATGCTACAACACTTTTGCATAAGAGAATCAGAAGGAAGGGGCAGAATCTCTACTTACTAATGAATTATCAAGGCTTCTATTACTATATATTTTTCAACAGCCTAGAGTAAAGTATCCTTACTCTTTCTCTGTATCTCCTTCACTTTCTTCTGAATGATCAAAGCTCCAGTTATTTTTAAAACCTCCATCCCGTTTGGACTGTGATTTATCCAAAGCTGAAAAAAAATAAGTTAGGATCAGTTCTGGTTCCAAGAAACTCATTAAAAAAAAGATATAATAAAGCAATCTTAATAATGAACAATCCAAAGTGTTGTTTAGGTTTACTCAGTCTGGGGAAAGGACTGAGCAAAAACTAAACTAAACCAAATACAGTTAGTATGCACTTAATGCATATATTTCCTAATTGTGAGATGCAGGCTTGCAAGGCAGTCTCTATACAGTTTGCACCCTTCCATAAAATAGCATGAGTACACTTGGGATAAAACTAGCATGGGTTCAACTAAGGTTAGTATCCTAGCCTACACTTTATCTTACTAAAAAGTGTTATAAGAAAGCTTTGATTGATCATACCATGATGGAAAGTGGGTATCAATATCTACTTCTCACTCCTTTTCTGTGTTATGCATGATGTTGCTTACTACTAAAGGAAATGTTTGCATGTATGTTTTCTTTTATCACCCTAAAAACAACCATTCAGGGAGGAATTCTTGGGGACCATATGAAGGCCATAAGAAACCCTGAAGACTCAAGCTGTGCTCTCATGGTGCAACTGAATATCTAGGCAATGTTCATACACAAGTTCATTTTATTTTTTAACATTGCTGTAACATTTTTGTTCAAAAATGTACTGTAAATGCAGCACTATAAGACCAGCTACATCCTACACAAGTCCAGTTGAAGAGCACTATGATGATTTCAAAGCAGGTTAGTCAGCAAATTAAACAATATTCCAAAAAAGAGTGCCCTGTACTCCCACTTAGTAGTCAGAAATGTATTAGAAACAAATACTAGCAGGATAGCACAGTAATTTGGAAAAAAACAAATTTACACATGTAGCCTTGCTATAAATTCACTAACTCTGGCAAAGGGTTGCTTCTGAATCCTTAAGAATGAATGTTCCTTACTACACTGTTATGAACACGTTTGTACTTTACTTCAAATGGAATGAGGAAGAATAGAAACTTTAAAAAGGAACAGCCAGCAATCACATCTACTAGAATATGGTGCTTAAATTTCCCATTAAATTTCCCACTTTCATTGGTGTAAATCAAAGACAATACCATAATAAATTGAATCTGAATTGTAATTAGTTCTTTTCTGAATTCCATTACTGTTGCACTCTGAAAAAAATAAATACCAAAACATCTCATACTGTGGGTCACAACCCCTTGGGAAGTGGGTAGCAAACAATATACACCGGGTGCACAATTATTAGGCAAGTGAGTATTTTGACCATATCATCTTTTTTATGCATATTTTTCACCTCCAAGCTGTAGAAACCTGCATGCTTATTGGATATAAGCATATCAGGTGATATATATTGTGTAATGAGGGAGGGTGTGGCCTAAGGAGATCAACACCCTATATCAAGGTGTGCATAATTAACCTGCATGCTTATTGGATATAAGCATATCAGGTGATATATATTGTGTAATGAGGGAGGGTGTGGCCTAAGGAGATCAACACCCTATATCAAGGTGTGCATAATTATTAGGCAGCTTCTTTTCCTCAGGCAAAATGGGCCAAAAAAGAGATTTAACTAAGAAAAATCAAAAATGGAAAAAAGTCTTTCAGAGGGATGCAGCACTCTTGAAATTGCTAAGATATTGGGGCATGACCACAGAACCATCAACCGTTTTGTTGCAAATAGTCAACAGGGTCGCAAGAAACACGTTGAGAAAAAAAGACGCAAATTAACTGCCAAAGATTTGAGAAGAA